CTTAAAGTTGCCAAGGTTGGAGACCCCTGGTCTAAATCACACTTATATGCATTTCTCAAATATATTGCATTTGCTTTCATTTTGTTCCAGGAAGGCAGCCCAATTGGTTAAAATGCTGGGAGCAAGTAGTAATTATAATTATTCATTGGTTTCTGCTACAGAATGAATTAAGACGGAAGCACAGACCTTTCTCTCAGTAACAATGAGAAATGCCTGTCTGACTAAAGCTGACATTTGCTGGTAGACTTATGAGCAAAGCTTTTGTATTATCAATTTCATTATATGAAAAAGTAAGTGTGTGTGTGTGTGTGTGCATGTGTAAGAGAGAGAGAGAGAGAGAAAGAGAGAGAGAGAAGTTTTATATTTATCAGGCTCTTTTTATCTCAAGTAGTTCACTGCCACATTTACTGAATATTATTCAATACATCTTTTTAACATGTGGTGCAGGTCTAAAAACTGTCAGCTTTAATATGGATAGCCTTAATGTATTATATTTAGTTTCCCATATCAAAGATATAAGTTTCTATGTGTGAATGGAATCTGCAGAACATCAGCTGAAAAAATATGTTTTATGTCCTATATGAAAAATAGCACCTCTCTCAGATGGCACAGAAGACTTACTCGTTGGTGAAATAATTGCTAGTTTGCAGCCATGTTTGTACCCAGGATCAACTCCCATCAATGTTCGCCCTCTCACAGGGCTTGTTAAAAGCAACTGACGAAGATTCCTTCCAAACATCATTACTGATTCCTTTTCAGCATCTGAAGTTAGTTTTGACCTGATAAGGGAGCAAAAAAGTCCAGTTTTTCATAGATATGCAAAATTGTATTTTTTGATTCTTGATGAAAAGTTCCTTGACTATTTTCTCTAACTTGTTTTAGTTTATTTCATAAACAAATACACCTGGACATATTCATATGAGAGGCATTTGATTCTTGAACTTGACTCAAATTATATTTTGAAATTATATATACACACACACACACACACACACACACACACACACACACATATATATATTTCAAATTATGGAAATTACATGTTTGAACCTGAAATCACAATTTAATCTTACAATATCAAAAATTGCAATTTCAGCTAGTAAAAGAAGCCATTATATTGTCACTGACAAAACAGAATGGCTTCCTACTCCATAGTCATTACATAGCAAAGTTGAGCCCAATATTATGCCAATTAGATTGTTAATCTAAGAATGAAAAATGACAGACACAGAGATATTTATAGCAGGAGCAATTAGTCTCCCCACTTCTCTTAAAAGAAGTATGACAAATGGGATTAGATCGACATGATGGAGAGCACAACTGAAACAGCGATTGTGAAATGGATATAATGAAAACAATTTTAGTAGCTCAGCAGTCTGCATCAAGACCATTAGACTGTTAGAACAATCTTACTCAATGATAGCAGAGGAGAAAAAATACACAGTATGGCATGATCATTAAAAACATAAGCAATATGTTTTTAATCGATATGGAACTGTCAACTTTTCCCAAATTTAAAATGCATTTTCCATTTCCACTTTCCTCCTTTGTACTACCAAGAAAAAAATGTCTCCAACTTGCCAATGCTTGGAATTCTTAGTGTCTGAAGAAGTAGGAAAGGTATGAAACTGTTTCTGGAAAAACATGTGTCAAAAATCCTTCTGCTATCTCAGTCCCAGATCAACCTTCTTGAAAATAAATCCTATGGATTTTAGTGGACATTAACATGTAACTTTGAGTGTCTGGATAAACTTGGGTAAGTATAACATATATCAATTGACTATTTGTGAGAATACAATATTATAGCAAAATCTAGATTAAATGGTTGATCAACAGACATATGGAACTTTGGTTTGGTTATCTCTCAGCCTCTAAGGTCAAGCCTCCTAAGTTAAAGTCAAACAGACAATACACCTTTGCATGGTTGCAGGGACCACCAGTAATGCACGGGGTTGTCATTTTTTTAGTGAGAATGCATATACATTTCAGTCAAAACTATTCAGCTTCAATTATTTTAAAATTAGAGAAATCCATATATGGTTATCCAAAGCTCATAGCCAAGATGGCCATCTAGAAATTCCCAAGAGCAGTATGCCACTGAACATTATTTTTGGGGAGACAAGAGAGGGCTCCTATATCTTATTTCCTGCTTATGAGTATTTCATAAACATTTGGTTTAGCCCCTGTGAAAAATAGGATGCTAGATTTACTAGGTTTGTAGTCTGATTATTAAGGAGTACTAAGTTTTACTAAGTTTAACTTTTAATAATGAAGATACATTGCTTTACCTGAATTCTCTGCAAAGCAGGGGATAAATAAGACGTTTATACGAATCTTCTATTGAATAGCGCAGTAGTTCCATTAATTCAGGGTTGGCAAAGGCCTTTGGTCTCCATCTGTAAATCAGAATTTTTTAAAACTGTAATCACTCTGGCAATCTTTTAAATCAAACCATGTCAAAAATAGCAATAACAATAGGTAAATAGGTAAACCCACTAAGTAAACTCAAGAAATGCTTTTCCTCATAATGTCCATGACAACTGTCAATCATGAATTCATAGAATTGCTAAGACTTTTCTTAGATTACAAATCCAAAATCAATCCAAGTAACTCCTGCAAATACAAGAGTATTTGTGAGCTAACAGTTGCCACTTCAAACCTCAACCAACCTCTCTATGGGTATAATTGAGGCTCTCTTTTATCCCTATCACTACCCCTGTCCCTATCCCTATTCCATTATCAGCCCTAATAATACTCTTCTTCCTCATTTGATATTGAGATAGCACACTTTTAGTATTAAACATGAATGTGGCCATGAGTTCTAGTTCTAATTTCTGCTAATTCAAGCATTCATTAGAAAATAGTTTACTGCATTTGAAAAATAATTGTTTTACATTTATTCTCACTGGCCCAAAAGTCTACCTTAAAAAACAAAAAACGTACATAAATAGTAAATCAAGAGTGGGAGAAATAATTTGTCTGTTAATGATATATCACACACAAATGTCAATGATTCAAGAACTAAGATATGTAAATATTCACAGAAGACCTAATAAATAATTTAAGAATAAGCAACTTATGACACAAAACCCCTACGAGTGGAACTTCTTCCATTAAAAAAGACAAATCTATGAGTTTACAGCCTAAACTGTATATCACAGCATTTACAAAATTAAATCTCATAATTTGAAATTCTGAAATGTTTTCAGAACATCCATGTGATCTCCAAAAAGTATCTAATTCTTTGCACTTTAATATTTGGTACTAGACTCAAGTAGGTTAGAACAGTGGCCCCCAACCTTTTTTGTGCCATGGCCCGGTACCGGCATCACAAAATGATCCGCGGCCCGGTTCCGGCATCAGCACGCATGACAAGGCAAGGCGAGCCGAGCGACCGGCCAGCCAGTTGTCCCCCGCTTCTCCCCGCCACCTTCAACTCCTCCTTTGTACCTTTGTCGATGGGCTTCACTTCGGGATGGCTTCGGGACGGTCGCTCGGCTCGCCTTGCCTTGGGTGCTGAAAGAATCCTTGCGCCTTAGTTTCGTTCGAAGCCACCCCCTTCGATGAAACTAAGGCGCGAGGATTCCTTCAGGACCCAAACACCTCTTTCCAACCAGAAAAGCTCACCCAGAAGCACTTTCTCATCAAACAAGATGGCGGCGCCCAGCAAACCGGCGGCCCGGTAGGAAATGTTCCATGGACCGGTACCGGTCCACGGCCCGGTGGTTGGGGACCCCTGGGTTAGAAAACGTACACAGAATATTTGTATCTTGCCCCCATAGTCACATGATCATATCTTGAATGCTTGGCAACCAAGTCATTTTTACAGCCCTTTGCAGTGTCCCACAGTCACAATTGCAATTTGTGATGTTTTGTTGCCAATTTCTGGTGTTTACATTTGGCTTCTGGCCAAAAACATGTCCATTGGGGAAATTTGATAACTGATATGTTCACTTAACAACTGCTACATTCGCTTAATGATTGCAGCATTTGCTTAATGACTGCCCCCAAAATTCCCCCCACCAAAAAAATCAGGTCTGACCACATGATGCCTTGATTTACAACCATAAGAAGTTACAACTGTAAATTCAGGCTCAATTACACTTGTACATTGAGGACTATGTGTAGTCCTCGAATTAATGATGGACAACTCCCTATTCCATGTGGGAAGCCAAAACCCCTACCATACAGATAGCCAAAATACACTTGCCTATCCTCATCTTGGAAAACTCAAATTCAGATGAAATTTTTAAAAATGCATGCATTTGGTATGATTCATTAATGAGAACAACAGAACATTGACACAGACATACTTATACAAACCTTTCATTTACACACCACCTAGAAAATTCATTCTTTACTCCATCAGGAACGTTGACCTTTACTTTCAAGATTTTCAGATTCTCTCCTCGGTTAATAGCAAGAATCTAAAACCCAAAACAGTAAAAATTTATGACACATAGAGATAGAGATCTACATTAATAGATTGATAGCCAAAAGATTTAAATTATCACCCAACCAATTTTTCTTAATTCCAAATTTTATCATTTCTCCCACAACAAAATTGCAAATAAAACTTTGACAAATAAAGATAAACTATATAGCTGAAATTTTATAATATGTATAAATGGCAGAATCCAGCTTTTCCTGGAATAAAGTCTGTGATGCTTAGATTTCAGGCTTCATATGGACATATATCCATGCAACTGTTAATCCTTGATTCAAGGGAACTAGATAATTGTCCTCCAATCTCAACCTCTCCATTTCGGGGACTGTAACTATGGAAGAAATGGAAATTACACCTTTGAAAAATATGGAACATTTGCACCTGTGACTGTCTGGTTTTGAGCATAGCATGGAAAATGTATTGGTCATTCTCATGGATCACCTATGATGGAACTTGGAAGGAAAGAAGAAACATTTCCTCCTAGAACTCTAAGCAACCTTTGATACTATCAACCATAGTATTGTTCTGGACTCCTTGTGAAGATTAGGAATTGGAGGTACCATTTTGAGTGACAAGTCCACTAGCAACTTTTCAGGGTATAAGAGGAAATGCCAACAAGGACTCTTTTATGGGGTGACTCAGGGCTTGAACTTTTCTTCTGTCAGTAAACGTCAGAAGTCTGTTGGAAGAAGTCATTTGTTGGTTTGGGTTAAATGTCAAGATGCTGTTTAACTTCACCCTAAAGTTAATGAGAAGCCCTCATTCAGTGTCTGGAGATTGTCAGAATCTGAGTGGGCCAAAAAAGACTCAACCCAAGCAAAACAGAATGGCGATTTTAATTCAGAAATCTACCAATTCCAGGATTGCACCAACTTTACTCCCAAATAGATTTGTGCTTTTCCAGAAAGATCAGGCTCACAATTTTCCGAGATCCTTACCTTCTGCTCAAAGAGCAGGCAAAATTGCAACAATAGTGTAATGATCAGCCGTGGCTGATGCACCTGTTAATTATCTGGACTAGGATGTTGTGATACAGTCACCTTTTCCCTTGCCAGTTATATTGTGGTAATTTGTTATCCTTGTTGATTTCAGTTGGTCCAAAATTCAATGGCTCAACATGCTCACAGGGAAGTTGTGATATTGCCACATTATACCTTTGTTGCAGTAGCTACACTGATTAACTGTTTCTGAGTGCAAATTATGGTGATTACTCAGGATATTGGTATCTGTGAGATTGCTTTTTGCACATAGTTTTATCCATCCTATCCAGATACCTGGGAATATCTACTGACAGTTCATTCTCACCTAACAGGATTTGTAGCAGGAGGAGGCTCAATCACACAATTAAAAGAAGAAATCTCTAAGTTGTGCATTCATTGACTTCAATATGAATTTTTCTTTTATAGTTTTCTAGTCTTAATATTCAAATATTCATATCTCATGTTTGACAGATACTTGAGCAAGCAAGATCAGTCATATTCCAAAAAGCTGTACAGTGTTTCTTTAAACATATTTTGGTTCTTTCCCAGATATTTAGCTGTTAAAGAATTCATCATTAATTTTCTTCTTAAATTTTGCATGATATCCTCTACAACACTGCATGTTCAAAGAAATTTCTAAAATGTAGTATGACTGAACTAAAATGTAGTAGTTATTTTTACTAATTATGTCAAGATTTTTTTCCATTTTCCCTGGAAAATTATAAATTGTTGGTTCCAGCTGAGATAGTGTAACTGTCACAACGTACACCTCCAACTGCTTGCTCTGAAAAAAAAAACTGTCTAGACTTTGTTCAGCAAGCTAACCACTATTCTACATGTATTCCCTAACAGTATCCTCCAGATATGTCAGACTACAACTAACATCATTCCAATGGCCATGCTGACTGGTGATAATGAGAACTGCTGTCCAAAACATTTAGAATGTGTAAAATTGTATAAGGTTGCTCTCTATGTTCACTTTCTGATTCACTTGATGGAAGATTTCCATTAAATAAAACAAACATGCATTTAAACTGTCAGGAGAGAGAAAGCAGATGATTGCTGTGTACACTTGCTGTCCATGTGCGCCTAAATGTTAACAAAACCATGCATTTTTAATACATTAGACTTGCAAAAACCATTAAAAAGCTGTTAAAAGTTGACATACCCATGTCATTGCACACGTTGATGGATGCTATAGGCCTCTGCCTGTCACAAGCAAGCATTCCCTGTCCATCATGAACATTAATTCAATCACCAGCTAACTCAGACATGTCACATATGTTAAACACAATGGTCTAAAAGTGACCTGAAGACATCACACCCATTTATATTCTTCAGCTTTTCTGGTGCTTGTTGACATACCAGGCTTGACATATCACTGAACAGTACAGCAAACAATAAAAATTGCATGTGAAATATTTTAACATCAGGTACCCTGACTGCCAAAACAAAGGGCAAGTTTGAGAAAGAGGCGGCACATTCACAAGCAAAGAATTGCCTGGTTTATTCTATTGCGACAAGAGGGGTGAAAATTAAAACACCTCTGTCAAGGGACATCCAAGTTGCATTTTAAAACAAAACAGTTCATCAGACGCAATTCCTGGGCATCACCAGCCTCTGAAATCTCAGAGACATTCAGACTGCTGGAGAAAGCCTCTACTGAAATAATATTAGCAATGTTTTATTAGATTTTTTTTAAAAAAAGAGCATCCAAAATAAATGTGAACAACATAACATTTGGAATACAGATTTGGAATATCTTCTATTGCCTTGGTTTCAGTTTTAAAGAATAGAAGATCTGTTTTGTATGACTTAAAACCAACTTGTTCAGCAAGAAAAATATTTTATTCTGAATCCCTCAGAGAATATTTATAAAAGGTTCACTCTCATCCTTTATATGCTGCAGATACAATACATTTGAAAGATCTTTAATACATGTGTCACATGGGCTGCCTCTCTGTAATTCATTATTGGTTAGGCATTATTACTTTGTGAACTGGTTCTTCAAAGGCAGTTGAGGTTAAAGATGTTGGTGACTGTAGTGTTGGCTATAAGTTGGTGCCTTCAGTCTTGAAGAAAGCAAAGTTTTCTTCTGTTTTAGATTTTAGACAATTGTCCTGTCTCTAAACTTCCCTTTTGGGAGAATGTTGTTAAGAAGACATTCAGTATGCAGTTGCAGGAAATCCTGGAAGAAGTAGATTATTAGACCCAATTCAGATGATACTGAGATAGCCTTGGTTGCACTTGTTAATGTTCTTGGTGAAGCCAGTATAGAAGTAATGCATCCGTCCTAGTTTTCCTTGATCTTTCAGTGGCCTTCAGTACTGTGAACTATGATATTCTTCTAGGAGTAGGAAATGTGGGGGATAATAATGTGGCTCCAATCCTTCTTCTATGGCTGGTACCAGTTGGCATTGGCAGGTATGAAGGGAGAGATGTGCACCAGACCCTTATGTGAGATGTTGCGAGGTTCAATGCTCTCTCATTTCATGTTTAACATCTACAGTAAGCTGCTAGGTGAGGTCATCTGCCAATCTGGAATTTGGTATTATCCATATGTTGATGGTACCAATTATACCTTTCAATTTCAGGCTGGTTAGCTGAGGCTTTTGATGTTGTGTCTTGATGAGCTGGTGACACTATGGACAAAGAGGTTTTTGCACAGCTCCATCAGTTGCACCTCTTTCTGGACTGGGAGGTTCTTTAATCAGTCACCTCAAGGCTCAGCAACTTGTTCTACATGGGACTGGCCTGGAAAACCTCTAAAGAAAGCTTCAACCTGTCCAGAATGCAGTACATAGACAGTGATGGGCATGCCTCAATATACCCACACGACACTTTTGCTCTATGAGCTGCAGTAGTTGCCAGTATGCTTCCAAGTGTGATTCAAATGTTTTTATTGTTATTATTATTGTTAACCTTTAAAATATATATATATTTGGTGAATTCAAGGCAGTCAATATACCTAATACCTCTGCCTCCTATATTCCCATGAAAGCCCTATATGGCATAAAAGCAGGTTATTTGAAAGACTATTTATCTCCTATGGCCTTTGCCAAGCCAGGACATGTTGGCAGAGTTGGTATGTCCTGGGTTTCTTTCATGAAACAGTGTTATTTACCAAGACCAGGGAGCATGCCTTCTCTGTTATGGTACCTTTCTTTGGAATGAGGCCCCCTCTAAAATCCATGTAGCCCCCTCCCTATTGGTGTTCCATAAAACCTTGAAGGGAGGGAGGCAAGACCAAATAATGTGATTCCATATGGCCAGATGTAGAAAAGAGTGAAACAATTGTGAACTTTGTATGGGATTCATGGCATATTTCAAATCATGGTCAGGAAGAGCAAAGAAAACATTCTGAATTCTTATCAGTCAATCGCAAGGGAGAAACTACAATGTTTCCACCTTCCTCAGCCATTATCCTAGAATAAAAGGTAAAAACTCACTTTTATCTCTGGAGAAAACAATTTCCCTTTTTTGAAAAGGCCTAATGCAACTCTTTTCACTTGGCTAATTGCCACTCTTAACAGGAAAATCTACCCCTTTTAAACCACATCTGCATTTTCTCCTTCCTTGTTTGATATCCATAGGCTAGATATGTTTCAAAATGGTCGAGTAGCTCACTGAAAAATAAGTCAATTTCCAAAAACCTTAGACAGCACAGGTTGATCTTAGGAGCAACTCATTTAGGGGCTGAGAAAGATCAGACAGCAGATTTGTAAAATCCAATGGGGTGTCGGTATGTGCTCCTTTCAAAATCCAAGAAAGAAATACTCAGACT